AAGAAGCTGTCCCGAGCAAGATTCCCCCAAGTTCATAAAAACTTTTGTTTTGGTTTTTTCCCCGAGAGCAAGTGGTTTGAAATGGAATGTATTTTATGCGAAATCGTATGTAATTCTGGCTGAATTGGAGAGGTTCAGCCGACTTTTGTTTTGTGCTTTTTTTTTCCCAAGCGCAAATAGCTTGAAATGAAAAATTTTCTACGCAATTCTGGTTTGGAAAGGTTCGAACTGGTCGCCGAAGCGATTTTTTGTGATTTTCCAGTAACTTGCATAACGAAAGCAGCCCCCGATGTTAGGGGGTGTTACTGGAATACTCCCAAATTCATAAGCACAACCATTCAATCCTGATATTTGCATACCCTTAATTATTGCTTAGATCCTCTCCATTATTTTTGCGCTTCCTTTTTGGATTATCGCTTGGATTGATCGTGTACTTTCTTACATAGTCGTAATGACATTTATGTATGCTGCTCATTTGAAGGAGTGCTTATAATGATCAACCCAAACCTTTACCTGCATTATTGCTCACACCGGTCAGGCAACTGTCACTGGTTCGCACCACCCAAGCTTAGCCATATAAAATGTAACACAGAAGTGTCATTTTGTGCTCCTTGAAAATGCCAGGGTTTGTACCTCGCCGTGCCTGAACACTGCTAAATCTGTGCCCGCTTCCACACGATTAGAGTAGGATTTCAGTCGAAAGCGTACCGGCTGCCGGTACGAGGATGCGTTTTTTGCACAGTTCCTCCACAGGGTTTTTTCGCCAGTGGTACGTTCTTCCCGGCAGATGCTTCTAGCTAAAAGAATTGGGACTGGCCAACACGGCTGTTAGAAATTATTACAATGACTCCCAATCTATGCTCAAAAAATTCAGAACCAGATTTCAGCAGCCAGAAATCGTGAATGAGTATTTTAGCGCCTTAACATTTGGAAAATGTTTTTCAAAACCACAGCGTTCAGCCCTAATTTTGGTTTTTCTCGTTTCATATACTTGAGAACGTGTTTTGCAGTGTTGTGTGGATTACGATTTTCATGCTCAGCAAGGGAAATACGCTTTTTTCGGATCTAATTTTTGTAGTCTTTCGAAGTAGATGAATTTTTCTTTTCGCCTGAATTTGTGATTTTCGTTTTTTTGTTTTCGTGTATGCTTCATAGATTGGCACACATACTTGAATATTGTGCATCGCTGTGTGCTAAGTTTTTGCATCAATTCATGGTATTTTGCTTATTTATCTTCGATTTCTCTTATTTTTTTTTTTTTTTCTTTTTTTATAGATCCTTTTAGCTTTTTTTTCACTTAACAATCCCAGCCGGAGTACAGGTACCAGAGGGATCAATATTTAATCCCATATACGATTTGAAGAGAATTTTAGCCGTACTGAAACTGTACATTAAAGGAAGTAGGAATTTAAATCACTGAATTCATTGTGCTTAGATGATTCTGAAATAGCAATTCCCAAACTGCTTGCATGATCTTTTCACCTCGATACGTGTATAAACTTCGTCAAAGTAAAAGAATATGCTGCTTTGAAAACTATTTTCCTCTGGTTTTTTGCTTTCTTCGCTTTCCTGCATTCTCATTTTCCGTTCAACTTCTGGCTTCTGTAATCGTTCCCGCTAAAATTTTTTTTTTTAATTTTTTTTGGTGAAATGATAAATGAAACTTTTGTTGTTTGCATAGCCACTTCATTTTCCTTATCGAATATTGCTCT